AATAATTTTACAAAGAATCAAATTCAAACAATTATCTGAAAAAAAACAAAAAGCATTTAAATGTAATTTAATGTCATTAGATCCGAAATTCCAAGTGCAAATGAAAAGTTACTTAGTATGGTCATTTCACAGATATTCACTAATAATTTTTTTTAGTAACGTTCTTTTACTTATTATATATATTTATTTGGCCCTTCAATTACTGACATTTATAGTACTTCATCAATTATTATTAATTTATCGTTAACGATTAATAAGTATTTTTTATTTCATCTTAAAACTTTTTTATTTTATCAACTTTTCAATTTACACATAATCACACAATTTCATAGTCAGATTGTAATTTTACCCTCCTAAAAAATATTTTTAGCTCCGCCACTTCTAACTTACTGATGAATCCTTTTATTGAGCTTTGACTTGTATAGGCTACTCACCAAACAAAGAACATTTACTCTAAATTTTCTTGGTTTTGTTACGACGGTCTGGCCACCAAATTATTTCTTGACCATATTGTATTCTACTTAAATGGTTTATTCTATACGTTATACACTTGCATTTTGTTTAACTTATACTCTAAATAAATAAATAACACATTTAAAATGAAAGAGATGAAGTAAACACTAAATTGAACCATACACAATATTTTTATTTGAACGAGAGCTGTACACATTTAAAATGAAAGAGAGGACTAAATGATAAATTGGTTTTTTTATATGTTTTAATGTTACATATTATGGATGTATGAATTATATATTTTTTATTAATTATAATAAAAAAATTAAAAATTAGCTTAAATTTTATTAACTTTTGATTAAAAACATGTCATTAACATTAAAAATAAAATTAATGTATTTTTAACTTGTCTCTTCAATAATATATTTAATTTTAAAAAATAAAAAGTAAAATTTTTTTAATCAATTAAATTAAATATTATAATTTAATTAATTAAAAAATCCCTCCCCCATTCATTCAAACCAAATATACTGTAAACCAAATAATCTGCAACTGTAATGGCACAACTTACACGCACAAACCAATGATAAATTGATTAGCTTGTGAAAAAAGTTGAGCTGCCATGGAAAAAGTATGTCGTGGGCTTGTTCCTGTAAAGAATAAACCAAAATCTTTTTCCCTAAAAGTCAAGATTATTCAGATCCCCATTTGCCTTTATAAATCAAACCTTAATCTTGATTGCTTCGACTCAAGTTTTTCTTTTTTCTCTTTCTTCTTCCTTTGTCCCTCCCCGGTTTCATGTATGAACCGGTGTATATTTATATAGATTCACGTGCGTTTGTCAACCTGGATTTGTTGGTCAATCTTTTTAATTACTCTCCTCCGAAAAATCAAATAAAAAGCCAACGATTCCTCTCATCTATGTGCTTCCTCCATTGAAGATCGGATAGAGTTTTCTCAAGCCCTCTTTGCACTCTGCTGCTTTGTGTGTTTGTGTGAGAGAGAGAGAGAGAAAACAGAAATGGAGCTTGCTTTGAGCTTGGGAGATTCATCAAAGCAGTTTTCATTTCTTGACAAAACCCCGAAGAAGTCATCAGGGAAAGGTCTTGGATTTTGCATGGCAGTGGGTGGTGGTGGTGGTGGTCGGAGTTTGAGTCCGCCGGAAAGGGAAACTGGTGGAGATCATGGAGATGAGAGAAGGGGTTCTTCTGATCCACCTGTTCAGCTTGATCTTCTTCCTTTCTCTCCGGTTCCTCGTCGCCAGCCTTCTCAGCTCCGATTTTCTTGGGTCACCGATAACCGTGAGCTTCTACTTTTCTTTGTCTTTTCTCCTTGTTTTCTTGGCAACCAAACAAGCTTTGTTTTTATCTATTCCATTATTAGTTTAATCATGGACTGGTTTGATTCTTACAGTGGGGACGGAGCCGGGTTCAGGAGCTTTAGATGTGAACCGATTACCGATCGTTGCTGCAGTGGAGGAAGCGGAGGAAGGGGGGGCGCAGTCGTCTCCAAATAGCGCAGCTTCGTCATTCCAGATGGATTTCGGGATTGGAAACGGAAGCAGTAGAGGGAAGAGATCAGATATGGAGGGTGAGATGGAGAGAACAAGTTCCCGAGCGAGTGATGATGACGAGAACGGTTCAACTCGGAAGAAACTCAGACTCTCCAAGGAACAGTCTGCTTTTCTTGAAGAAAGCTTCAAAGAACACAATACTCTCAATCCAGTAAGTCCTTAAAAAAAATAGCATTAATTTCTTTCTTTATTTACTTTTGAAAAAATGAATTCCTTTTAAAGTGTCTAATAACATGTTGGATTTCCTGAAAATTGCAGAAACAAAAACTCGCACTAGCCAAGCAGTTGAATCTTCGTCCTCGCCAAGTAGAAGTTTGGTTCCAGAATAGAAGAGCAAGGTATTTACAATATTTTCTTGATAGCTTTGAAATAATAACTTACTTGATACAATAGTTGTGGGTTTCTCACAATTAACCAAATAATTTAGTAGTAGTGAACATAAGAAGTTTGGATTTTGAGTCCAACTCCTTCCTTCTAATGGAAATAATAGGACTTTATTTTGAATGGCAAGGCATGCAAGTGAGTGGATTAAGGGGTAAAAGAAAGTTATATTTTATTGTACATTCCAGGATCATAATCTCGTTGTGGGTTCGATCATTATATTACAGTGGAAAATCTTATCTTCCTTGAATCCAGAATAATCAAAGTATATGATCATAATGACTTCTAATATTATTAACTGAATCTATACTGAAGGAGGGATGAATCTCTCTCGGTATTGAGTAAGACCACCCCGTTACATGTGCTTAATCTGCATAATGAATGAAGCTTTTTTTTGGTTTTATTTTTAATTTGTTGGTTCTGATTATGCAGGACGAAGTTAAAGCAGACGGAGGTAGATTGTGAGTATTTAAAGAGATGCTGCGAGACATTGACAGAAGAGAACAGGAGGCTGCAGAAAGAGCTGCAGGAATTAAGAGCACTTAAGACCTCTCAGCCGTTCTACATGCAGCTCCCAGCCACCACTCTCACTATGTGCCCCTCGTGTGAGCGCGTTGCCACCACTACTACTACAACCACCACCACCACAACCGCCACGGCTAATGGTGCGGGTGCAGCCTTGGGCGTTAACAGGCCTAAGCTGCACCCATTTTCTGCACTAAAACCAGCACGTGCCCCGCAGGCTCAGGCCCACCAGGCTGCATCATGAAAGGTGGGATGTGACCAGTCAAAAGATGGGCATGCCTTCTGGGATTTTGTGTAAATATTTTTGGCTTGGAGAATGGAGAATGTGATTTTCCTTTTTTTTTTTTTTTTTTTTTAGGGAACAAAAGAAAAAAAAGAAGAAGAATATTATCATTATCTCTTGAGTTGGTTTCTTGTTTTGACGAAGGAGGCATTAGAGGAAGAAGATTCCAAGAGTTTCGGTTGTGTTTTATTGACCGGCAAGAAAAATGTGGGAGAAATTTTGTTACTCCAGCTATCTGCCTCTTGTTTGCGAAGGATATTTAATTAATCAATGAAATATATAGTTCCATTGTTTTTAGGGATTTCTAGATATCAAAATTTTTTGACAATTAAAATGATAATGTTATTATAGTTATAATGTGATTTAATATTATAAATTTATAT